TGCTCTCGTATCTCCTCAGCTTGTCTTGAACTCGGCGAAGGTGATCTTCTCATCACTTTGTGTAGTGTGGATAGAAAACGGCTTAAATGACGCTGGCAGCCCCTTCAGAATCATAGCTATCAATAAACCGTCACTCAAAATCTCTTCTGCATTCCTCAGTACTGTGATAGCAGTCTCTGCTCGTATAATATAGTCTGTGATGCTTTCATTAGCATATTTCTGGAGAGACGTAAGCTCTGTATACAAGCTGATCACACGCGGTTTTCCTGTACCTGCGTAGTGATCCCTCAGAATCTTCAACGCCTTTCTCCCATCGTCCGCTGCATCTCTCATGACCAGAGGCAAACTTGTATCGTCCAACAATTGAATAAGTTCAGCGTAGACTTCTTCATTTTTATCAGCGTCTTCTGCGGCTCTTACCGCGGCTTCTTCTGCGTCCTCTTCGCCTCCGCCACTGTCAGGCTCTTTCAATATGGTGCTTTTCAGCCCTTGTAGACGCAGGTGGCCAAGAAACTTTGTTTCCCACAACTCATAGTTTTTCTCATCTCCGTCAAAGCACAAACGATTCCATCGGTTTCCAAAATCCTTTCTGGGCCCATAACCTGTTGGCGCAGCAGCCATTACCAGCAAAGGTCTAGATAGCCTTGGACTAATACTACGGAGAAATAAAAGACGCCACACACTTGCATTGTAGTTCACATGACACTGACTGAGTTCTCCGAGTGAGCCAGCAATGATCCCTTTATTAGAACCAGCTGTGTGATTGACAGATTGACAGATATGACGTCAGCATAAGAGCATTCAAGAGATGAATCGTTCACAACAGTTCAACACCCTAAAATCAGAACAGAAACAATACAAAGAAACAAAAACCAATAAACAGTAGAAAGTGAACACAGAGTTCACATGAGAATACACATAAGGATAATAATAATACAGATAAACAGTAACAATATTAATGTACATATATGTTTAAATGTTGACATACTTTTTCTATTCATGCAGCAACTATCTCGTCCTCCGTGGGAAACTGCGTCCTCTCTTCACTCGCCTTCCGACCCAAACCAGTCGAGCCTCCTCCACCTACTCCTCCACCTCCCCTCCTCCACCACCGCCGCCATCCCCCCAAAACGTGTAGAAGTAACAACCAATGAAACGAGCTCAGCCTCCCTCAGTGACGCTGAGGACCTCGGAGTGATGTCAGACGACGCTGAAACCCCTGACATCAGACCACAGGAGGCAGGGGGGGGTGCTAACACAGCTGATGGAGGAGCAGAGAAGGAAAAAAGTGCCGCAAACACAGTTGAGACGGAGGAATCGGTGCAAAGAAAAGTACACCGGAACCACCAGGGGAACAGGAAGCAGCAGATAAACCAGAAGCGCAGCCGGCTCCAAAAGCCATCCCTTTCCGGGTCGTCTCGATGCCAGTGAAGTCCACCTCTCAGAGTGCAGCAGCAACAAAAGACGCCCAAAAGCCCAACACTCATCGGGTCACGCTGCATCAGTGGGTGTCACAGATCGCACCAACTCCCTCTCGCTCCCCGCCCCTGCCTCCCCTCCCCCCCGCCCAGCTGATGTTAGACGACGACGACAAGCCCAGCATTAGGAGGAAGAAGCAGATCCGACCCCCGCGGACCGATACACCTGCAGCGTCTGTGACAAGAGCTTCCCGTACCAGTCCAAGCTGATGGACCACGAGCGCATCCACACCGGAGAGAAGCCCTTCGTGTGCACCGCCTGCAACAGAGCTTCAGGACCCAGGCGTTCCTCAACAACCACCTGAAGACGCACAGCACGCGCGCCCCTACGCCTGCGGGCAGTGTGGGAAGTGCTTCACCAAACTGCAGAGCCTCTCCAAACACATGCTGGCTCACAGCGGCCAGAAGCCCTTCTACTGCAACATCTGCAACAAGGGCTTCACGCAGTCCACCTACTTCAAGCGCCACATGGAGTGCCACACCAGCCAGATGACGTTCCCCTGCAAGCACTGCAGCAAGAGCTTCCCCACGGCCTTCAAGCTGTCCAACCACGAGCGCTGGCACACCCGAGACCGCCCTCACATGTGCGAGCGCTGCGGGAAGAGGTTCCTCGTCCCCAGCCTGCTGAAGAGACACATGGGATACCACATCGGAGACCGCCAGTACCTCTGCTCCCAGTGCGGAAAGACCTTCGTGTACCTGTCGGACCTGAAGAGGCACCAGCAGGACCACGTGCCCAAAGCTAAGATCCCCCCCGCCCCGTCTGCCAGAAGAAGTTCTCCAGCAAATACTGCCTGAGGGTCCACCTGAGGATCCATACAAGAGAGGCCGTACCGCTGCTCCATCTGCGAGAAGACCTTCACCCAGGTGGGGAATCTGAAGGTCCACATCCGGCTGCACACCAACGAGCGGCCGTTCAGCTGCGACGTCTGCGGCAAAACCTACAAGCTGGCGTCCCATCTGAACGTGCACAAGAGGACGCACACCTGCAAGAAGCCGTGGACGTGTGAAACGTGCGGGAAGGGCTTCTCCGTGCCCGGCCTGCTGAAGAAACACGAGCAGATGCACACGAGGGACGCTAACCCCGAGCTCGCCGGGAAACGGAGACACCGGGTAAGCACAAGAAGCACTCGGTCAAGAGGAAGTACGACGAGGAAGAGGAGGCGAGCGATGATTATTAATCAAAGAAACATTTACGTATACAATAAGGATGCTCTGATTCCAAGTGGCCTGATTGGATAACGTTAATAGCCACATAGCTACTGTGTCATTGGGTCCATTTTATAAACCATATTAGTTAGCAGTGTGATAAGCCACCATGGTGGTTAAGGTAGTGAAAACACATATAGAATAATGTTAGGATATGTTTTCTGATCATTGGATTTAAAAACTACCAATTTGAGTTATGATGGGTGGTTGGCTCGAACAGTTTTCAACAAATAAAGCCCCTTTGTTGTTCTGTGTTTCATATAATCAGGTGATGTGCCACAATACGTTGAGGAAATGATGTTACCCTTAACTGTCACATCGTGAGAGATAGCCTACAAGGGAGTAGTACACATTTTAAAGTATTTTTCAGAGTTGTCAATCATTTTCATTACAGAATCATGGATAAAAGAAATGTCATTTTCCAAACATTGTACTTGGTCAACGTAGCCAACCCTTAATGAATTATGTAACGATATAACGAAGCATTTCAACTCATGTACCTGTAGATAATGTGATGTAGTCTTTGTGGAAACTGTAGGAACTACTTTTACCACTCACTTTTTTATGTAACCATGTAAACAGCACAGCGACTCTGCTTTTGTTTTAGACAACAGGCTGGATATCATCTCGTCCAGCAGTAGGTGTGTGTTGTTGCTCTGATGATGAAAATATGACAATGTTATTGTAGCGTGGACACGATGAAAGCTTTTCGAAGGTTTGATGAGGTTTTGCTGTGAATCTTAACTCAAGTCAATAAGAATATATACCTGTTTTTGATGTTTTGCAGAAAAATAAACACATAGCAAAGAACTGTTGTCTCACTGGTTTGTTATCTGTGGAAGATTTTCTTAATCGTGTCCCTGCTTAATAACAAGGGTTTATGTTTCACAAAAGTTACACAAATAATGGTTGATAAGTTGCCATCCATTAAATTAAACCAAATAGATCCATATATAACATTAAATAGACAGATCTTTTATTTTAAATGACAACAAAATCCAAACTTTGGAGGTTTTTTATGTCTGAGTCGTGTTTTTTAAAGGTCACCTATCATGCTATTTTTAGGCAATAGCATAGGTCTCAGATAAAAACATGTCTATGAAGTGTTTTGCTCAAAATACCAAACCGATGGGTCTGAGCTCACGCGGACCCGGCAGCTACTGTCTAACTAAATACTGCCGTGATGAAACACCATATCATGGATTATCTCTGAAACAGTCTGGAGCTCAAAGGCTTTCTCTCTTGCCGGTCCACAAGGTGAGTTCCTTTTTATTTCCTGCTTCTTCACACACAAGAGAGGCCTTCTTCAATTCCTTAAATTCCCCTCCTCGAGACTTAGTCCCGCCCACAGGAAATGCGAGCGGAGGACCGTAGGAGAGCGGAGGGGAATCAGCAGACGTTTAAAAAGAAATGAGAACTCCTCTCCTCTGAGCGGTCATATTAAAGCGAACGTCGCGTTCATTATTAGTCGTGGCACAGCTGCATCAGCTGTCGAAGTGTGTTGTCATAGCGCTGTATTTTTATAAATCTCTGTTACATCGAGCTGAACAGTGTTTCCACCACATATTTACTTGTGAATTAATTGAGAGTGCGGTATAGAATCAGACAATAAACAGGCTACAGATGCGGACACACACACACACAACACACATCACACACACACACACACACACACACACACACCCACACACAACACACCCACACACACACACACACACACACACATATATATTTATATAAATATATACAATTTAAAGTATGGCTATGAAGAGCACTCTCATAATAACGTAACACAATCAGGGACTGGATATATCCCCCCCTCTCTCTGGTCGCTGAAATGGGGAATTGAAATTACGGGCCAAAAGTTGTATTTACAAGTATTAAAAGTAAGCAGAGACCCGTCTGTCCGCCGCATCTACGCACTGTACAACACACACCTACATACTGTACCACACACACACACATACACAACTGCCTACCACACACACTTAAAGCTCCTAAAGCATAATCAGGCTACAGCCGTTGTGTATTTTATTATGTGAAGCACTAAATGGTCTTAGAAAAATATCGACTCTTTGTTTGTAGATATCTAAACTACAGCAAATAAAGAGAGTAATGTAGGCCTGTTATACTGAGTGATATATATTATACACACTGCTCTGCTTTCTGCACGGACCCTCACAGCTGTTCTCACTGTAAACATCGCGACGCGATGAAAGCAGTTTCTAAAATAATATCCAGCCACCGTTCCCGGAAATGCATCCGTGGAGGAACCTTCAGTGTATCCTCGGTTATAGCTCCTCCAGAGAGCCTCCTCGATGCTCCTCCGGTAGTGACCCGGAAATGAATTTCAGCGTGCCATGTTGAAGGACATCTAATTTCTCTAAATGCACTTCGAGGACCGAGCATCGAGCATCGAGGAGGCTCTCTGGAGGAGCTCTAACCGAGGATACACTGTTGGGTCCTCCACGGCTTCCTTCGTGGATGCATTTCCGGGAACAGAGATGTTTTCTGCGACGGCCGGACTTATCTCAGCCAATGACAGCTCTGCATGCATCCCCTGGATATTATGTTTATTAACTGCTTTCATCGCGACGCGATTGTTTCCAGAGAGAACAGCTGTGAGGTCCGTGCAGAAAGCAGAGCCGTGTGTATAATATATATCACTCAGTATAACAGGCCTACTCTCTTTATTTGCTGTAGTTTAGTAGATATCTACAAACAAAGAGTCCATATTTTTCTAAAACCTTTTAGTGCTTCACAATAAAATACACAAACGGCTCTTAGCTGTAGGTGTGTGTGTGTGGTACAGTGTGTGTATGTGTGTGGTACAGTGTGTGTATGTGTGTGTGTGTGTGTGTGTGTGCGTGTGTGTGTTGTGTGTGTGTGTGTGTGTGTGTGTGTGTGTGTGTGTGTGTGTGTGTGTGTGTGTGTGTGTGTGTGTGTGTGTGTGTGTGGTACAGTGTTGTGCGTAGATGCAGCGGACCGACAGGTCTCAGTTGGTTTGGTGTCCTCTGCTTACTTTTAATACTTGTAAATAAAACTTTTGGCCCGTAATTTATTTTCCTCATTGTAGCGACCAGAGAGGGGGGAGGGGGGGGATATATCCAGTCTGATAGTGTTACGTTATTATGAGAGTGCTCTGTTTGATTCTGAAATTGTATGTATATAAATATATATATATATATATGTGTGTGTGTGTGTGTGTCCGCATCTGTAGCCTGTTATTGTCTCATTATACCGCACTGTGAATGAATCAAAGTAAATATATAAGTCATCATGAACACATCTGTCCATCAGACAGGCTGCTGTGCCTCCTGTCATCATTAATGGACGTCTCTTTAAAATGACCGCTCAGAGGAGAGGAGTTCTCATTTCTCTAACCGCCTGCTGCTTCCCCTCCTCTCTCCTCGGCTCGCATCTCCTGTGGGCGGGACTAAGTCTCGAGGATAGGAGTCGAGGAGGGGAGTTAGAGAAATGAGAAAGGGCCCATGTGTGTGAGCTAAACCATATCCTTTGTATGTGATTTAACTCTGCTCCTTCTTGCAAGAATAAATTAGTACCTGATAATTGATTCTCAACCTGGTGTCGAGTGTTTTTTCCTAACAGTTTTATTCTCTGACGCTGCGTGAATTCCCCGACACAACCGGGGACACATATTTATGAATAAAAGACATCAACAAGTGCATTTTGCATGATAGGTCCTTTAATGTCAGACTTTCCTCACACTAATACCATAATTAAATATCTGTATTCAGTTTGTCATAACGGATGGTTGACTGTATAGCAACAATTTATTTTTAAATGTATAAATATACACAATAAAGAGCCAGCAGAACAATGTGAGCTTAGAAAAGAAGAAAAACAAAGATATTTAGGATAAAAAAATGATTTTACATATAGAACAACCTGCCTTTCATAGCAGTAGCCTGATTATAAACAGGAAATAGCTTTATTCTGAGTTTTCAACAGTTTAAAACAACAGGTTGGTTTCTTTTTGAGGAGAATAAAGGACACTGATTGTAAGAAACTCAAATGGCAGGAATGCTTGGAAAGATACAAATTCCCATGATCCCACTCTGCTTCACACCTTTTTGTTCTGTTTTGATTAAAGCACATATTGTTCGCTAAAGGAAGAAAAGTCATAAGAAGAAATTAACCACACACATCCCCAGATATATCAGGGGTGTCCAAACTACGGCCCGGGGGCAAAATGCGGCCCGCGGGACATTCAAAAAGTATAATGGAATACGGCCCACAAATGAATCTGAAAAACATAAATTACACAGTAGTGTTCATGTGTTAATAAGCCCAATTTGCAATAAATTCAGTCATTACATTTGAAGTCGATAAGAAAAAAGCCCAATAACTAGAAATATACCCTTCCTATTTCCTAAGGCAGGGGGGTCAAACTCAAATACACAGTGGGCCAAAATTTAAAAAATGGGTACTAGTCGAGGGCCGGACTGGTTCAATGTTTATTGCAAAACATATTGAAATGAACTTATAGCACATATTAAACCTGGAACTAACAAAGCTTAAATGATTGCCTATAAAAACAACATTAAATAATCAGTTGCATTTCATTTCTTATGGCTCTATCTGCAGCTTCATTTCTTATGATTACATTTTTCCACAGGCCAACAACAGCTTCAAAAAAACTATTTCCCTCAAAGAGAAAACCAAACCCTGTTGTCTCAAGAAGAAAAGTGCAGGGGGAAAACATCCATTAAACGCAGTTTGCTGCTCTGTGATGCTAGTTCAGATACTTGGCATCTCATCTTGGGTGCAAGTTCATCAATGTTTGGGCTCAGGCTCTGAGCTGAGGAGACCCTCAGGATGGAGTGAAGGTGTGCGTGCAATATACCGGCGGGCCAGATCTAATAGTAATTTAAAAATTATCCTACGGGCCGAAATTAAATCCACCAAGGGCCTGATTTGGCCCCCGGGCCTTGAGTTTGACACATGTGTCCTAAGGGATGAGTTGCTAACAAATGAAATGAAACTCTCTGGAGAGCTTGGATGTAGGCTGTTTATTTTCCTTAAAGCAGATTCAAGTATCAAGCATCATTTACATACTTTTGATAGATTTTGCTAACTTATAACTTAACTTATGAGGCAGTATACCTCGCCCAGGGCCGGGTCCGGGGGCATGCACCCCAGGGAAGACTTTTTTTTCTAATATATAAGTTCAAAGCATCAATCTGGTGCACTTTGAGAGCAACATTAGGAAATCTATGGATACATCTCTCAACATCCAGATGAAACAGAACTGTAAGTAGATTTTCTTTTTCTTTATGGATACTTTACAAATCACTCCCCTTTCAAACTGTATTCTTGTTTATTAATAACAACTTTTTTGTACTGTCATATAGTATTTTATACCTGTTTTTCTCTTATTTTTGTATAACTATAATGATCATATAAAGGTGTGCCTTTACCTCACTGAGCTGAGGTTATCAGAGCCGCTCAGTCTTTCAGGAGAGAGCTCTCTGAAGCTCTCCCCCCCGCGGCCGCTTACACAGTAAATTCCAATGTTAATAAAGCACACAGAAGCTGTGTAAGTTTTTTGGGAGTTTGATTTATTTTAAATTAACACAAATATAAAATTAAAACCTATAATTGCACACTTCCATTATTTCAAAAAAAAGAACAATTTCACATAAACCTCTGGTTTTTACTGGGGCTGGGGCAGTTCAACTTGATTTTGGGGGGTGGGTGTGTGCCATAGTTTATGGGCGCTGTACACAATATAGTCATAGTTCTGTTAGTATAAGATAATAAGATGTACTTTGTAGATCCAAAATCGGGAAATTGTGTTGTTATCAAATTAAAAATATATATTTAGTTTTAATTTCTAACTTTTTTTTTCAAATTGTCAGCGCCCCCTATGGGTTGATGCGCCCTTAGCATTCGCCTATACTGCCTATGCGAGGGCCGGCCCTGACCCTCGCCTCTAGTGAGTGGCCCGGCCCTTCGAATATGTTTCTGTATGTGGCCCTTGGTGAAAATGTTTGGACACCCCTGTTCTATATGTTTATCAATCTAAAGATGTGTTCGTCTATAATAATAATAATAATAAATTCGATTTATTAAGCACCTTTCATTGCTCACAGCAATCCCAAGGTGCTACAGGAGGCATAATAAAAACAAAAGTTTAACAAAAGCTTTTTTTAAAAGAAAGGTTTTTAAGCCTTTCCTGAAGGCGTCAGTGGTCTGTGGAGTCCTCAGGTGGTCTGGAAGGGAATTCACAGAGGAGGAGCAGCTGCACAGAAAGCTCCGATCCCCCATTGAGGTTTGGTCCTCGGGGGGCGAAGCCGATGGTTAGTTGTGGAGCGGAGGTAGCGTGTGGAGGTTTGTGATTTGAGAAGTTCCTTCAGGTATGGAGTGGCGTTCCTGTGGATGCACTGATGGGTCAGTAGTGCGATCTTGTATTCGATCCTGAATGAGACAGGAAGCCAGTGGAGGGAATGAAGGACGGGTGTGATGTGGTTGTATTTTCTCACCCTCATCAGGATCCTAGCGGCACTATTCTGTACATATTGGAGCTTCTGAAGGCTGAGTCCCGATGGGGAGAGCGTTGCAGTAATCGAGCCTTGAGGAGACGAAGCATGGACCAGTTGTTCAGCATCTGACAGGAGTTTTGCAATGTTCCTGAGGTGGTAGAAGGAGGTTTTGCACAGGTTGTTTGATATGGGTGTCAAAGGTTAGATGTCTGTCAAATCTTACACCCAGGTTGGTAACTGCTGTGGAGAGGGATATGTTTGGTCCAGAAAGAGGTAATGGTGGGTTATGGGGGATGATTGGACCTGGTTTGGTGTGCCAACCAAAATAGCTTCTGTTTTTGAGCTATTTAGTTGCAGGAAGTCTGTTCTTTATTCATCGGTTTCATCTCCTGACATGTAGCGTCTGTTTCATCCTCACTTCCCAGCTTCCTCTTCTCAAAAACAGGCACTCAGCGAGGCGTGACACTAGGAAAATAGTCCCCAGGGTGATGAGCAGGATTGCGGTTCGAAAAGGGAACAAACGGTATCGGGTACCATCGTCCTGGAATCTTGTCCCAGGGCAGAGGCATCAGGTCAGGAAGGCCGATCACAGGTTCTCCAACCAGAACCCTCAGCAGGAGAGCCAGCACGAAACCAAAGCAGGGCCACTAAGTAATTCACCCAGCGAGACAGGTAGAAGATGCAAATCACCTGAGGAGCCATCATACAGTACAGCACGTCTGAGCTGATGATCCAGAACAAGTGGAACGGACGAGTGTCGTCATGGCCAGGGCCGGCTCCAGCTGTCCCACACAGCACCACCGAACTTCATCACCCGCCATGAGAATCAGTTTCTCTGACGCCTGAAATAGAGGGAGATCATGTTTTTTGGACATTGGATACTATTCTATAGTAGAATATAGTAGGTACTATTTTATTCAATTTATATTTCTAGGATTATAACCATGCATATTCAATGTAAATACTGCCATTTTTGTACTATATTTTTTAAACCAGAGTGTTTCTGCAGCCTGGAGCCTTGATTCTCTCCAGTGTTCTTTCCTTGGACAACTCTCTGCTAACCAGCTAGCTTCGTAGCCATCACTGCCTGCCTTTTTGTTTGCATTTTTTTTATTAAACACCTTGAAAACCTGACCTAAATCAGTCACTGCTTTGGGGTCCTTTTTAAATAACGGAAGCGTCACATAAAGTGATATTTCTCTTCAGGACTAACTAAGCTATCAGCATATGTAGGCTACAAGAATGTTCTCATTAAAGTATAAATAGTAATACAATCATAAAGACAAACAAAGAACTCAACGGAAATGTAATGTTCAGCATTTGTCTGCAAATCGAATGACCTTTCCATTTAGCCTAGCTCATTTAGTGTTAGCAAATGGTTAGCTAGCATTCTGTACCAAGCGGGTCACATGGTTATACATAATACCTGCTTTACAGAATGTTTGCCTTGTTAGCGTGTCAGCATCCATTTATAATTTATGCTCAAAGCCTTGCGGTGCAGATACACCCTCACAGAGCATGGCTTAAACCTCTAAGTCTTTCATTTCAATGACACATTATTCAGTGACTTAAAGATGCCACAGTAGGCCATATCATATAAAAAGTTACCCCTCTGTAGATGATGTTCTTGAAGATGTTTCGGCCCAGTTGGGAGGCGGCAGACAGAAGAGCCGAGTCGACGGACGACATCACGGCAGCAGCCAGAGCTCCGATACCGAGCAGAGAGATGTAGAAAGGGCAGAGATGCTGGAGGGCGATGGGGAGGATCATGCCAGCTTTGCCCTCTTCATACGGGCTGGGGGAACCGTAGCTGGTCTGGTTCCAGTCTGCCAGAAATTAGGCACATGTAATCACAACAGAAACATGAGTTGCAAGCAGAGGTGGGAAGTACATTTACTCAAGTATTCAGTGGCGGTTCTAGACCAATTTCACTGGGGGCGCCAGGCTGAGGCCAGTTATTTCACACAAAGCGGATTAAAAAGACAAAGAAAGTATAAAGTAATTGTGTAAAATAAACACAACATACAGTAATTGGTATTTGTTTTAGTACATTTAAGTTACAGTTCTTTGTTTCAGTAGTTTTTTTCACTTAGAGTATTTGTTTTAGTAACTTTAAGTGACAATTTAATTAAAAAAACATAAACAGTATTGCAGTATTAAGGTAATGAACAGTTTAATCTCCACTGTACATCCGGGTCTCTGATTTGATTTAGTTCCAATAAATCGTAATAAACCCTAGAACCACCCTTGCAAGTATTTCCATTTGATGCCACGGTACTTGTGGGTTATCTGTCGCCACTTTTTAATTCAACCCTAACCTTCCTCTGACCTTTTGCAGTCTTTTTGCGTATTAGAAACGGAGTTGGCGACACTAAGACTGCAATATAATGTTTGTGTAGCAATAATACATGACATATTGTTGCGACCTGGCCACAACAAAAAGGAGACACAACATGTCAACGGGTAGAAAAATATGTTTATTAAAGTAATTTCTTTAATAAAGAGGAGCAGAGAGGCTTTAAATAGCTGCAGGACACCAGACCCAGGTGCCCTGAGTTACTGTAATCAATGCAATCACTGGAGCCAATTTTAGATGTCTCCAGTACCGATAAAAAGACCGATAACGTCGGAGCTTAACGGTACCACGGTCTTTAATAATTCAGCCCCGGGGGCCGTTTAATACCGGGGCTCGGTACCCATCCCTACAGATAACCCACAAGTACCCATGCTGATACTTCTACTCCATTACATTTAAAAGACAAATCATGTAATTTTAATCTTCTCTTTGTGCATCTCTAAAAATTAATCTAGTGGAAGTCACAAATGAGTAATTTTATCTAAATATTTGTATAAGCTTTAAGTACATTTAGCTGATAGTACTTTAGATTTTGAATGCAGGACTTTTACTTGTAATGAAGAATGTTGACAATAATGCATTAGTACGTTTACTCAAGTAGAGCATCACCAACCCCAATAAACCATATGTAATTAATTTTGTCTTAATTTACGTTATTTAATTTCATATTCTGTTCATGTCAATAAATCAATCAATCAATGTTTATTTATATAGCCCAATATCACAAATGTTACATTTGTCTCAGTGGACTTTACAGTTTGTACAAAATATCAGTATGACAATACGACACCCTCTGTCCTTAGACCCTCACATCGTACAAGGAAAAACTTCCGAAGAAAACCCACAGTTTAAAGGAAAAAATGGGAGAAACCTCAGAGAGAGCAACAGAGGAGGGATCCCTCTCCCAGGACGGACAGACGTGCAATAGATGCCGTGTGTACATATCATATTCTATTTACATGTATATAGACTTTTTGCACTACTTTTCTTTTTTATTATATATGTTGTATTGTTGGAGGAGCTCAGGTCAGAAGGATTTAATTGCCATTTCTACACTGTAGCTTATGTTAGGGCTGCACGATATATCGTGTCGTGACGATAATCGCGATATGCGCATGCGCGATATCACATCGCAGGACGTGCGATTTTTTAATAATTTTTTTTTTTAGGACGTGCGATATTAAGTAGGCAAATTAACTCAAACACGTCATGTTACAATTATTTGCTGCTTGCTACAAAAGGATAACTTGCGCGGCTCTCATGTCAGGGGTACTTGAGTGAGTGACACACGGCTCTGCATGCACAGCAAACCACCAATCACAATCAAATCTCCAAAGCAACCGGACGGTGATTAAAGGTAAAACCACTGAATAAAGTGGTTTCATGTGTTTCTCCAGGGCAGTTCGGCGCTGCTAACCGAGCTAGCTCAGCTTGTTGCTCTGATAACTTAAGATCCAGACGTCCGTGACTAAAATCCTTCATCCGGTTAAATAGCGTTAAAAAAATACCAATTGTAAAGCATGAAAGTTAAAGAAAGGATGGTTTGAGGACAACAAAAAAAACTGCCTTTTCTTCAAATCCTGTATTTTTTCATATCGCAGAAGAAAAATATCGCAATGTCAGTTTTTTTCAATATCGTGCAGCCCTAGCTTATGTGCATATGACAATAAAACCTTTGACTTCTTCTTCCCCTGCTGGTAGCAAGGTTTTATATGATGTGATATAGCGAATATAAAAGAGAAAGGTTAAATGTGGGTACTGGTAGATGCAGCCACTGCTCCTATGAGGATTGAAGGGATGCCAAGAATTGGGCAAAATACAGCAGCAGCGTAGCAGGTGATCTTCGCCTGGGCATCAGTGGCTGTGGACAGAACCCTCTGGTAGAAAGCCTGGTAGCAGATCCCTCCGATGCCTTTGAATAGAAAACCAAGTAAATTGCTGTTAACCACTGTTTCTTTCTACGTATATAATATATATAATCAGGGCCTGCACATAACTGGTGCGCAGGTGCGCATGCGCACCTCCGCCAAAAAAGAGCACCGAGTCATTTGAAACAAAGCGCATTTGCGTACCAACATTGAGAGAGGGAGAGAGAGAAGGGAGAAGAGAAAGAGAAAATAGAGGAGAGAGGAGAGAAGAGAGAAGAGAGAAGAGAAAGATATTTGCGAGTTGCATACATGTATGAACCATGATATGAACTCAGGGCCGGCCCGTAGCGCTGGCTAGATGTTCGCCTAGAGCGCCAGATTTGGGGAGTCGCTGCGCTGGCAGTCCTGGGAGGGAAAAAACCATTTTGACCGTTGGGGCTCATCCTAATTTTCGGCCTTGATGTAACAATATTCATAATTAAGTAAATGTAACACCCTTTTCACCCCGGTTACACGTTTCATTTGCCCTGTACGATGGGCGCTGTAAGTGATGAAAATGGGGGATGTTGGCTTATCTGGCGCCCGCAGCTCACAGCCAAAGCAAGTGAGCGAGGAGAGAGGGAGGGTCGCACCGGTACCACGAGGTCGCTGGTTGTTTATTAGAATCTTGGTGCTAGCTGCTCTAACGGATGTAAGAAGAAGATGTTTCTACAATATGTGGAGGGAGAGTCCCCTCTCCAGCAGACTGATTAACTACAGCCTCAGTGAGGTAAAGGACTCCTGAGTGTATGTAGATAGTTCACTTAGTCTAAGTTCAAACGGTTTGGGGTCACAATTTATGTAAAACACATATTCCAAGGCACTGCCTTTATAATTATTGTGATAAAAGGTTTGAATCATTCCAATGTATACTATAGGACAGTAACCAAAAATATCCTTTAAAACTGGAGATAAAAAAAAAAAGCATAAATAAATGAAATGTTAAGTGTAAAATAAGATATGAATGAACAACACAATAAAATAAGTTACATTACAGTTGTTTATTGGCTATGGTAAGGGTTATATGGGTTATGTTCACATACTTATTTGATTACATCCACTTGTCTAAGATGACAACAGAGACTTTCGACCCAAACCCAGCTGTTTGACTTGTGGATGCAAGCAACTAATCACAGACTCAACCAGAGAGAAAGAAGTAGGCCTACATCATCAGCTACCATGTCTGACAGAGAGGAAGACAGTGAGGAGAACAGTCAGGAGGGTAGTGATGACAGCTTGTAGGATTACTGGTCGTGCTAATGTTGTCTTGTGTTCACCTCTGCATGTGTGTTCTGTGTTCACCTCTGCATGTGTGTTCTGTGTTCACCTCTGCATGTGTGTTCAGTGTTCACCTCTGCATGTGTGTTCAGTGTTCACCTCTGCATGTGTGTTCTGTGTTCACCTCTGCTTGTGTGTTCTGTGTTCACCTCTGCTTGTGTGTTCTGTGTTCACCTCTGCATGTGTGTTCAGTGCCGTGTGTCTGGCAAATAAAGACCCCCTCAAAAGTTACGGTTTATTTAATTTTAAGGATGAGCACCAAGCAACATCTCCAGGTGCTCCTTTGAGAACCAGGGCAAAAAAGTTATGTGCACCCCTGTATATAATACATGTTTAAACTCAAAAGTGGGTTGTACTTGAAACACTTAGATAATGTGGCTTATTGCTTGTTGCAATTGTATGTTATTTATGTAATTTATGTATTTTTACTACAATGGCTAAGTTCAGTGGTTCTCAAAGTGGGGGGGGCGCAGAGGCATGCAAGGGGGGGCGGGCGAGAGGAAAAAAATTGTTATAAAAAAAAAGAAAGGAAAAAAAAAAATCATAATTTGAACATTAATTGATTCGAAAATAATATGAATGCAGTACTATTACGTCTGGGTCCTCTGTGTTTCAATTAAAGCTCGGTTCTGTGTGTGTGTGTGTGTGGAACGAGCCATTTTGTGTGCGCGAGCGAGAGAGAGAGAGAGAGAAGAAGAGAGAGAGAAGAGAGAGGAGAGAGAGGAGAAGAGAGAGAGAGAGAGAGAGAGAGAGCGCACTCGGTACCGACTCCGGAGATCCGTTGTTGTTAGCTTCTGGTGCTAGCGAGCTACGCTAACGGATATATGGAGTTTTTTCAACAACAAAGTGGAGGAGAGTCCTCTCCTGTCAGACTGAGAGACTCAGTGAGCTAAAGGACTCTCTCAGTGTTATCTCAGTGGGTCTCAAATGTTTTGGTCACCATTAATTATTTCCGAGACACACGTTTATATGATCATTATAGTTATAAAAAAATAAGAGAATAAATGAAAAACAGGTATGAAATACTCTATGACAGTAAAACAAGAATAAAGTTTAAAAGGGTGATTTGTAAAATATCCATAAAGAAAAAGTAAATCTGTTTACAGTTCTGTTTCAAATGGGTGTTGAGAGAGGTATCCATAGATCTCTTCATGCTGCTCTCAAAGTGCACCAGATTGATGCATTTAACTTCAATATTTAAAAATAAATCTTCCCGGGGGACCTTGCCCCCGGACCCCCCTATGTGAGGTCCACACGCCACCTATAAAAATAGCACTTGACCCCTGCTTACACCTATATGCCGTGAGCTGATTATCGAGCCTTCATTGTAACTGTCACACTGTGTATGTGCGTGGGGATTGTTGCAGAAGAAAATTCCACTGTAGCGCCCGGTACATTAATGGGAAACCTTAAATGTTTGAGCACCCTCTATGAAACGTCAAGCTACCCCACAGCAACTCTGGCGCCGCCACTGAGCCTGACTTGTGTTGGGGGGGCCCAACTTTTTTATTTTTATTTGGATGAATGGTTAGTGGCTGATGAGTCCCCAGCGAAGAAAATAAAAAGACAACAGGGACAAGAAAACAGCGGAGAAGTAACGGGGCAGAAACCCTCAACACGGAGCTGCGGCCCTTTTTACTTTAACGGCAAAAAACATATTCAGTGTGCAGTTTACTTTGCATTAGGGCAGGGATATCTAGATACTTTCCAAGGTTTGACATAATGAATTGTGCTACTTTTAAAGCAAGCAACGATGTTTTCAAATCTGTAATCAAAAAGTAAAACGCTATCGAAGCAGTTCCTGCCGTTGCTACGTAGTCAAAACAGTAACAACGGACTATTTTTCTTAGCAATACATGTCATTTAAATCAATAAAACTATTTTTTAAATCAATAAAACTATTTTTTTAAATCAATAAAACTATTTTTTAAATCAATAAAACTATTTTTTAAACAATAAAACATTTTCTAATTCAATAAAAGCATTTAAATTAATATTGGGAGTCATGTCGTTACTTTGTTGAGAATGTGGCCTTACAAGCGGGATAATGTAGAGCGACTTGGTCATTATGGGTAAAAGAAGACCCTTCATGCTGATCAGCCTGTCCGGTGTCCTTTTTGTTTTTTATTTTTATTGTCATTACATAGTACAGGTACTAGTAACAAAACGGTTTCTCTGCATTTGACCCATCCTAGTGTAGTGGGTTACTTACATGCCTTTCTTACCTGCTGTACCACTTTTGATGTGGGACCAATAAAGGAACTCCAGTCTTAATTAATACTGCATATTCACTACATAAGAGATTTTAGGTGAAATGCATTTCTAGTCTTGATGGTTGTTTTAGGTGTCTGTACCAGCAGCAGTATGTCCTCCACCCAGCGACCTGCATCCTCCAGCTCCAGCCGGCCGATCCATGGCTCCTGGTACAGCTTAGTGACTGCAGCCACAGTGAAGTTAGCAGAGGAGGGGCTAGCCAGGATAAAAGGCACACAGAGCCACTAAAAATGAGGGAGGACACTATCAGTTCGGCATATGGATGAAAAATCATACTTACATTGACAGAGATTACAACAGAGCTCTGAGATCATCGGGGGCTCAGAACCAAACACGCCGAAGCTGCTTTTAGTTTGTATGCTCCCCACAAATGCAACAAACTCCCAGAAACCCTGAGGTCTTCACCGACGCTAGAGTTCTTTTAAATCGAGGCCAAAAACATTTCATTTTTCAGCTGCTTACCCAGAAGTCTTTTAACTTGTTTTAGCACCTACTGTTTTTACAATGTTGTTGTTAAACTATTCTGTATCTCTTTTATGCATGGTTTTTCTGAATCTGTTATTCCATTGTGTTCCTTTCTTTTGTCTATTACTACTATTTATTATGTGTTAATTTTGATGTAAAGCACTTTGAATTGCCTCTGTGTCTGAAAATGTGCCATATAAATAACCTTACCTTACCAGCCACTAGGGCTGCAGGATATTGGAAACAAATGGCATTGGAAATTATTCGTTACATATATAGCCAAAGAAAAAAAACCCAGAATATTTATGTCACGATCTGTCTGTTTTCCTGTTTCGTTTTGAAAGGTGTTCACCCCCTGTCTTTTGTCTGTGTCTGCTTCCTGTCTGTGTGTTTTCCCTCCTGTCTGATTACTGATTCTGCATGTATTTAAGTTCTGGTTTTCTGTTGGTGGTGGTGGGATTCTTGAGTCTTTCTCAAGGGAGAGAAGTTTGTTAGTTGTTTTTGCCTTTGAGTTTACAGGGGAGTGAGTTCTTGTAATAAAGGTATTTCCAGTTCAAGCCATTGTCTGTCCTGCAATTGGGTCCTACCTGTCCGATTTACCCTTAATATTGTTTAGGTTAGCAGTGCAATTTCAGTTTTAGTTAATTGCTCTGCTTAATGTCTAATCAGACTGATCAGTACACTAAGTCTGGCAAAGTTATCCCATTGTAATTTGACACGCTTACAAGCTGATGTTTAGCAGCTTGTAAGTTTCCCATGTTTCCCATTTGAGTTAATTGTATTTAAATGCTTACAATTTCATATTAGCTTTAAACAGAGGACAAATTAACACCAAATTCTATGGCAGGCAATTCAACATTTTGCAAGACCTATCACCTCAGATATTAACCTGATGGAGGAGCTTGAGGAAAAAGTGTAAGCCTGGCTAAGTTAGTATGAATCATCCTCTGGGGACCAACATTGGGCCGTCTATACTGCGGTAAAAATGTAATGTTTGTACCAAGCCGACGATAATGAAGGAAAGCTGGATGACATCAGTGTAGGCCACGGAGTAGAGTCCTCCCATCAGAGTGTAGATTACGGCCACAGCAGCAGAGATAATCACAGCCAGCCAGGAGTGGATATCCATCACCACGCTCACCGTCCCTCCTGCAACACAAACATACATTCAGAGTGAGGCAGGCACTTCTACAAAAACTCAGGTGCAGAAACAACAAACTAACATGAGTACAGTTATATAGACAGGGCTGCACATAACTGGTGCGCAGGTGCGCATGCGCACCTCCGCAAAAAAAAAGAGCACCGTGTCATTTGAAAAAAGGCGCATTTGCGTACCAACATTGAGAGAGAGAGAGGGAGAGAGAGAGAAGAGAGAGGAGAGAGAAGAGAGAAAAGAGAAGAGAGAAATATATTTGCGAGTTGCATATGAACCTATGATATGAACTCAGGGCCGGCCCGTAGCACTGGCGTAATAGATGTTCGCCTAGGGCGCCAGATCTGTGGAGGCGCTGCGCTGGCAGCTCTGGGAGGGAAAAACACATTTTTGACCGTTGGGGATCATCCTAAATTTCGGCCTTGATGTAACAATATTCACAATTAAGTAAATGTAACACCCTTTTCATCCCGGTTACACGTTTCATTTGCCCTGTACGATGGGCGCTGTAAGTGATGAAAATGGGGGATGTTGGCTTATCTGGCGCCCGCAGCTCACAGCCAAAATGCGAGTAAGCGAGGGAGAGAGGGAGGGTGCACCGGTACCCGGCGCTGTTGTTATTAGAATCTGGTGCTAGCTGCTCTAACGGATGTAAGAAGAAGATGTTTCTACAATAATGTGGAGGGAGAGTCCTCTCCAGTCAGACTGAGAGGCTGATACTACAGCTCAGTGAGGTAAAGGACTCTTGAGTGTTTAGATAGTTCACTTTAGTCTAAGTTCAAACGGTTTGGTCACAATTTATGCACATATTTCCAAGGTACTCCTTTATAATTATTGGGATAAACAGGTTTGAAATCATTCCAATGTATACTATAGGACAGTAACCAAAAATATCCTTTAAAACTGGAGATAAAAACAAGTATGCATAAATAAATAAATGTTAAGGTAAAATAAGATATGAATGAACAACACAAATAAAATAAGTTACATTAATTTGTTATTGGCTATGGTAGGTTATTGGTTATGTTCACATACTTATTTGATTACATCCACTTGTCTAAGATGACAACAGAGACTTTCGACCCAAACCCAGCTGTTGACTTGTGGATGCAAGCAGCTAATCGCAGACTCAACCAGAGAGAAAGTAGTAGGCCTACATCATTAGCTACCATGTCTGACAGAGAGGAAGACAGTGAGGAGAACAGTCAGGAGGGTAGTGATGACAGCTTGTAGGATTACTGGTCATGCTAATGTTGTCTTGTGTTCACCTCTGTGTGTTCAGTGCCGTGTGTCTGGCAAATAAAGTCAAGACCCCCTCAAAAGTTACGGTTTATTTCATTTTAAGGATGAGCACCAAGCAACATCTCCAGGTGCTCCTTTGAGAACCAGGGCAAAAAAGTTATGGTTACATAACTACATAACTTGTATGGTCACAATTTGTACAAATATATCAGTATGACAATATGACACCCTCTGTCCTTAGACCCTCACATCGTACAAGGAAAAACTCCCGAAGAAAACCCACAGTTTAAAGGGGAAAATGGGAGAAACCTCAGGGAGAGCAACAGAGGAGGGATCCCTCTCCCAGGACGGACAGACGTGCAATAAATGCCGTGTGTAATTAAGACAGGAGAATGGAATGGTGTTTGGCGATTAGGCCCCGGTTTGCAGGATTATCATTCAGGAGGGGAAGAACCGCTCCGAAGAAACCCCCAAAGAAGTGAAGTATGACATACTGAGCTGTAATGAGTTTCTTACCTTGTGGGCTGATTGCGGTGATCTATGGATGAAATGAGAGATTAACATGTGGATTAAACAATCGGCCGGAATCACTGCCGGGCTTACTGTACATCATAAGATGCTGACCCAAAGGTCGACGGCCGGAATCAGCGCCGGACTTACGAGAACACTACCACTAAACAACGGCCGGAATCACTGCCGGGCTTACTGTACATCATAGATGCTTGACCGGCCGATGGCCGGAATCAGTGCCGGGCTTACGTACTACCACTAAACAACGGCCGGAATCGCTGCCGGGCTTACTGTACATCATAAGATGCTGACCCGGAGGTCGACGGCCGGAATCAACGCCGGACTTACGAGAACACTACCACTAAACGACGGCCGGAATCACTGCCGGGCTTACTGTACATCATACACTCTAAAAAATGCTGGGTTATTTCTATAAACACATTGCTGGGTTGATTTGGCTGGGTCATAATTATGGGTTATTTGGGTACTGTAAACACACTGGTGGGTTGTTCATGCTGGGTCAAAGGGGTTATTAGGGCTTCAATTGCAGTTGAACACCTGCCTGGGTTATTTTTAACCCAGAGGTTGCTTTATTCATTTTCCCACTTCTGAATCATTCTGGAACCATCTTTTTGTCATTTCTCACAACACAAGGTATGTAACCTATATTTTACCTATATTTATATAATTATACAATTCTGTAACTTGTTGAATCACTAGTAACTAAGTGATTTTGAAAAACCACTACAACCACAACAGTGATTTTGCAAAACCACTAATCAGCCAGTGATTTCACAGAATCACCAGTGTTCTTGCACACTGTGTAAGACCGAACATTACAAGCTTCTGAAAGAAAATGGGTTGTTTTAACTCAAACATTTAAAAAAGTTAATTCACCGCTAATTTTCTGATGACTATGAACTGATTTTTAATATTGTGTATACAGTGTTCAACCACTTAGGGTCATATTGGTAATAGTACTCAAACATTTTTACTGAATCTGTCTGACGCTGGTCTGACGTCATCACGTATGTGCTCCGCCCCGACGTGCCTAGACGTTCTATCGCCCATGCCTTCACCAGAGTCCGCCATTAGCCCCTCGCCTCTGTTGAAGTCGCTCAGACTTTTAAGAATACTTTGCCCACCGTGCCGGAATCGTGATCCTTTTTTTTTGGCCGCACTACTCTGGTGAGTTACGGCTTGCCTTTGCACAGTATTTAAATGATGTGTTATTAATTTCTGCATCTAATGCACTTTGTGTCCACCAACACACTAACCTCCTTTTCCCCTCTCTCTCCAAGTGAGGTTCTTACCCTCATTACTTCTGCCCGCCCTACCACCTGTCCTCTGGACCCTATCCCTTCAAACCTCCTTCAGACTATCGCTCCTGATATTCTACCGTTTCTCACCGATTTCATCAACACTTTTCTAACTTCTGGTCACTTTCCAAACAGTCTCAAGGAGGCAAGAGTAAACCCTCTCCTAAAGAAACCCACTCTCAACCCGTCTGATGTTATAAACTACAGGCCTGTCTCTCTCCTCCCATTCCTGTCTAAATCACTTGAACGCGCTGTCTTTAAACAACTCTCCTGTTATCTCAATCAGAACAACCTTCTGGATCCGCATCAGTCTGGTTTCAAGACAGGTCACTCCACAGAAACTGCTCTCATTGCTGTCACGGAGGAACTGCACACTGCCAAAACTGCATCCCTCTCCTCTGTCATCATCCTGTTGGACCTGTCTGCTGCATTCGACATGGTGAATCATCAGATCCTCCTTCGCACTCTCCAAAAACATGGAGTTTCAGGCTCTGCTCTTTCCCTCCTCACCTCATACCTGAAAGACCGTACCTACAGGGTGACTTGGAGAGGGTCTGAGTCCGACCCTTGTCAATTAACTACAGGGGTCCCTCAGGTCCTCTTCTCCCTGTACACAAACTCGCTCGGATCAGTCATTAGCCCGCATGGTTTTTCTTACCACTGCTACGCTGACGACTAGTGCTGTAGCGACGCGTCGACGCCGTCGACTTCAAAATATCGTCGACGACATATTTCCTCATCGACGCGTCGCCACCATAGACTGTATATATGGTCGCCACACACACGTGGGTCACCCAAAGCAACAAGCAGTTCGCAATCGCACTTCTAACACAATGGAGACTGAAACGGCTATCACCTCCTCCTCACAGGATTGCGCACGAAGCCCCCAAACGAAAACATCTCGCCCTAGGTCTTCAAAAGCATGGGAATATTTTAAAGTTAGTCCAAAACGCAAATACATTTATATATTTATATCTCACTGAGACTGCTGCTTGACCGGAAGCAGCAGCTAGCTGTGGTGGCAACCATTAGCACAGGGTCGGCTCTAGAACAACTCGAATGGGGGGGCAATCATTTACCAAGGGGGGGCACACACTGCCGTCAACAACCAACACACAAACACCAACGCAACTTCAATTAAAAAAAACATGCTGTAAAGTCTATTGTCTTTCACACACATTGCAGGGTGTAGTGCTATTGTATAGTGCACCTATGACTTGTGCATACATGCACGGTTGTGGCACGACCACCAAAACAGAAACATATAAGGACAGAGGGTGTCGTTTTCTCATACTGATATTCTGCACAAACTGTGCTGTTGTATTTGCTGTAAAGTGTCTTTACTGTAGTTTACTTTTGTATTATACTGTATATACAGCACTTTGGCTCGACCAAAAATCGTTGAAAAATGTGCTATATAAATAAAACTTGATTTGATTTGATATGGACATAGGCCATCATATAAAAAGTGTGCAAATGTATTTAGTATCCTATCCATGTGAACATGTTTTAGGTGGGGGTGGACCTAAACTCCTCTAGGAGGGTCTGGGGGCATGCTCCCCCGGGAAGATTATTTTTAAAATATTGAAGTTAAATGCATCAATCTGGTGCACTTTGAGAGCAAAATGAAGAGATCTATGGATAGCCTACATCTCTCAGCATCCATATGAAACAGAACTGTACACAGATTTACTTTTTCTTTATGGATATTTTACTAATCACTCCCCTTTAAACTGTATTCTTGTGTTACTCTCCTATAGTATTTCATACCCGTTTTTCATTTATTCTCTCTTTAATAACTATAATGATCATATAAAGGTATTCCTCGAAAATACTTACATAAATGGTGACCAAACCGTTTGAGACCCACTGAGATAACTTACACTAAAGTGAACTATCTAAACACTGAGAGAGTCCTTACCTCA